TAAAATTGAACATATGTATCAGATAGTTCAAAACGGTTATTAGTAGAGTATTGCAACCTAAAACTTAGTAAACCAGTAAGCTGATCAGTATCTAACTCCAGAATTGTAGGGATTTTAGGAACGTTATATTAAACACTGTAGGTCATGCTGGTTTGCTTAGATAAAGACACAGGACTGTACATGATGCATTTACTCATTGCCTTCCTTCACTTCCCCCCACCTCTCCAAATTATGGTTCCGTATAAGATCGATTAATGTAAACTGCTGCTCTTCGGATTTAAGAGGAACAATTTTCTGCAGCTCCTTCACACTGGTTTGAAAGGAAAAAAATACCAAACATTCCGCTTAATTAAGACCTAAAGAGGCGGTGCAAACTTTTGATGATTAATTGAAGCATGCTTTAGACTGATGCATATTTAGTTATTATAATGTGATAATTTTATCTTGTTATACAAACTACTCCCTTTGGGAACATGATTTAACACTGCAAACACTCTGTGTTTATTGCATTGTTCATTATGAAAAATGCGCAGGCTAAAAACCACAAGGAGATGTAACTGAACAGTGTCTGTGTGGTGGGTGCAGGGAGTAATTCTTCCACCTGTAATGACACGACCTAGGGGCAGAAAAACACAATATTGTAACTCCCACAGTAGCTCTCCCTATGAAGAGTTGGGATCTCGGAAAAGTAGAGACTGGAGATTTAGACCTTGTAGAGTATGTAGAAGGAATATATCTTTCTATTACCTGGTGTAATTACAGAGGACAGCAATATGTATGTTCTGCTGAATATTCTCCTGTTACTATTCAGTTGTGTCAGTGCCATCTCCTCTTTGTCTCACCTGTATGAGTGCCCATGCTACCTGTCATAAGTGTGACAGATATGAGAATATGCTAAACACTTTGCAAAATCAGGTCATAAAGTTGAAGGTCCAGATGGAGGAAAAAAAATACAGTTATTAAAAAGTATTTTCTTTCACTCAGGATGGTCAGTGCCAGGACTTGCAAATGATATTTTTGTACTTTACAAACATGTGTCAGCATAGCTATGTAAGTCCTAAAAGTGATGGTGAATGATCTTCATCAGAAGAGCTGCTCCAGTGAGAGTTCATGTGATGGATATAGGCATGGTGTCAGGATGAGCTCATGTTACTTTAAGTAGATATACTAAACCAGACTACCAGCAAAGGTTTGACTATGAGCAAAGGAGAACATTGCTGATGTAGTATACTGATGTAGTTATTGTGGAGAAGCTTTCTTAGTACAGTTCTAATCAGAAAAATACTAGAATAAAGACTGAAGACAGATAAGCAGTCTCAAATTGCTGGATTTGAAACTCCCACTTCCCTCTGATCTTGCTGCTTCAGGTTCTTCTTGCTGAGTGTTCTAGGGACAGGAATTTGATACATTTTCCTGAAAGAAGGGCGGGAATCTGGTAAAGTGATTTTCAAAGAATTCAGCCTTGAAAAACGAAGGTCTGTGAAAAAGCGAGAGGAATTTTATCTTGAATGGAATGGAAGATTTGAATTTTTGGTTTCATATTATTTCAATTTGTGTTTAACAAATGACAGCAGTTAAATCTCAAGACTCTGGCTTTACGTATTTCACACAGTCTTACTGTTTTGAGTCTAAGGTTTTGCTTCCCATTGCTGGTAGAAACACACGAAGTATCACTTCCTGTTAATGTTGCAGTCATCTTTTTTTGATCACTAAGCTTAATACACTGTAACAAAACATCCCTATTAGTTATTTTCACAAGGCCTGCTCAGATCTCTACCACAACTGGTGGGAAGAAGGAAAACACACAGTCAGGTTCGGACCTTTATCATTGTCCCCACCTATCATCCACACTCATAGGCCATAGGTCATAGCTCTGTACCTCTCCTTGGCACAAAGCGTGGGACCTTTTCTCTGCTGTTCTTAACTTCACTTGAAAATGAAAGAAAGGATTTGATTTTAGACCAAGTTTTCCTCCTGATGGTCTGTAATCGTGTGATACTGGATATTTTCTATTTCACTTGATGAACTCTGTTACAAAAAGTTAGAAGTGCATCAAAAATTGACTTGGGCAAACCTATACCTGAGGGAGATTACTTAAATAGTAATGTATTAGTGTACTGTCTCAGGAAGTGCATGCTCTAAACTGTCTTCTGAAGTACTGGTATTTCCTGGCTGCCTCACGTGGCCATGCTCTATTAATCCTTTTGTAGCATGTTCCTGAGTCTGTTAAATGAAGAGACATCTAGTTTTATTATTACCGCTACCATGAAAAGGATTATATTGTATGTGACCATTGTTTGATGACTAGAGTGAGAAGGGAGTAGAATAGAGAAATAATTGAACTTCTTTGTATTTAGCTAGACTATTTTTCTCCCTTTCTCCCTTCTTTCAAAATGATGAACATTTTGATGACTATTGATGATGACTCCTGGATATCACCTGTCACTTCCTGGAAAGTGCAGACAGTGACTGGAAGTAGTAGTCTGTAGACCATTCTTTGCTGTTTTATTGACTGTGAGATCCATGGACCACAAGTGAAGCAATGCTCTTCAAAGGAGTCCCCATGAGATGGTGGTGAAGTTTTACTGGTCAGAGCATGGCAAGATAGCAACTTGATGTAGTAGGTCCCTTTCCCTCTTTCCTCCACTCCCCTCCTTGCCAGGATGTATCTTAGAGAAAGTCTTTGGTAGAAGGAAGTGGATTGAATCTTACTGGCCTGCAAAGCCTCCTGCAGAAAAATGCATAATGTTGCTTTTCCATGTAAACAGCTGTTGGTGAGAGCCTGTGTAATTGAAAATGGACAATTGTGTGGATCTTTCTGATCATCCATGGGAGACAGATCGTGAGTATCAGTGAACAGGAGTTCAATGACAGTTGAGGTGTTCTCCCTATCAAGTTGCTCATGAAAGCCCCTGAGAATTCCAGTGGTGAAGCTCTGTGTTTCCACTTAAAACTGTGCCCCAGACAAGATGACTTGCTTCAAAAAGAGCTATTCCAGCACCTACTTTGCCAGTGAACTCTCTTTCAGCTCTGTAATATCCTTTTTTCATTTAAGAGAGTTACTCTCACCAGAAATGAAGGCTATTATAAAGGTATCACTGGTATATCTTCTCTTTTCCAGAGATAAAATACTTCTTATCAGTAGGCGAATAAATGTTGCTATTATCTGAAACAAGAGTCTACCGTCTGGTTCCTTTGATTCAGAGGATCTTCTGTTGCCCTGATACATTCAAAGGGACAGGTTCAGTCTGTAAGGAATTGGTTTATTATGGTGTAAAAGTAGCTGAATCCAGGTCCCTTTGTAAAAACTTAGTATTTTAAAATGGCTCAGGATAAAAATGGGAAGAAGAGCTCTTGGTCTGTGCTGGAGTAGTTAGCATCCTGGACAAGACTTGTCTGGAGAGAAAGCTACAATGACCCTGTGCAACACCACTGTAGCAGCACCCTGTGTGCATTGCTGATATTACAGTCAGCTCAGGGGCAGATTTTTGACCCTGTAGATGGCTTGTGATAATTTTGGCAATAGTGTTTTGATTTCCCTTGATGTGCAGTATATGAAGGTATTTATAATATTGGCAAATTCCACACTAAAGGATAAGTGATAAAATACGTTAAACACAAATCTGTGTTATAACTTAGCCTTAAATATTGGTTTAAAGGTAGACAGTCTGATTAAAACTAAGAGGTCATTATTTTACATTGTAGAATTTTATTTGTCGCTGTAAATCATAACACAATTTGTTGAAGGAAAAAAGTTATTAAACTAGCAATACTTATTCCAATAAGGTGAGTAAATGCAGCACGTAGTTCTGACTTATGATAGTCAGGGAAAGGAGCCAAATCACTCTGCTAAAAATTAGTTTGCCAATAATTTTACAGAACGATGACAGCGTAGCTTCAAAAACAAATCCTTTATAGGGAAATAGGATGGCTGCATGACAGAATCTCTGAGCTATGAATTCTCCACAGCTCATGGATCAGGAACTACTTTAACAATTAGTCTTCAGGGATTTTTTTTCCAGAAGTTAGACAATGGCTGCTGTCTGTAACTAAAAGGTCACTCTGTATCATAAACTGGACATGAGAACTGAAGAATTCTGAGTTTTAAGTCAGAAAGATTCCTGCTAACTTATTACCTTGATCTGTTCACTAGGCTTAACTATTCACTGCCCTTGTCTGTGAAGCTGAGGTGGGAACGATGACCACACAAGGATATTGCTGCCCTTTAGCAAATAAGTCCTGAGGTCTTTTTACATGGCAGAAGGCATTACATACCACATTCATAACACACGTTAGAGAAGAGCTTGAAAGAAGCTTGGGAAGTCTGCCGGAAATAAAATTTGACCAATGAGCATAATGACTGGAAAATAACATGGCAGATTTTGCCACAGTGCTGCATCTTCTGTTTTGCTCAGGTCTGTGTTTCTGTGACTGTCGAATTCACACAAAAGCTGTTTTACGCTAGTCATTATTTCAAAACTGCAGAAAAGGGGCACTCCGTGTTCCTTCCTTCTATTTAGAAGAGGGCTTGTGTTAGAGACCTGCCTTGGTGCAGTCTCTTCTTGCTGTGTTTTTTTGCGGTCTCTTGCTGAGCAGAACATCTCAGGGGCTCACTACTGCAGACTAAGTAACAAGAGCAAAGCAACAATACTCAGCCTCCAGTCTTGGTTACTCATTTGATAAGGAGTTGCGCACTCTTAAACACACTAAAAATTTCTTGAGATTTCCAGAGATTTTCAGCCATGCACCATTTTTGAAGCTAATCATCTTTTCCAGCTATTTTAGAAGCAGGTTTTAGTCTGCCAAGGCTGGCTGGTATAGGTCTCCGGCTGCCTGAGGATGAAGCTGGTGATCACAGGCATGCACAGTTCTGCTCTCTGACAGAGAGGAAGTTAGAAATAAGATGAAGCAGTGCTATTTGTATCTAAGAGTAATTGTGCAGATGTCTGAGGAAGGAGTTTGCATCTCATGTAAACATTGTTCTTATATTTTTGTTGTAGAAGATGATGTGTCAAATGTACAAATAATGTGTGCCTGGTGCCAGAAAGTTGGAATCAAGCGCTATTCCCTGAGTATGGGAAGTGAAGTGAAATGCTTCTGCAGCGAGAAGTGCTTTGCAGCTTGCCGAAGAGCATATTTCAAGAGAAACAAGGTAAGAGAAATAAGGAAAGATGCAATCTACATAGACATAGCTTTATGACCCAGCTTGGGTCTTATTTAGCATCTAATAGAAACTTTTTTCTTTTGTTTTTTTCTCTTTCACCTAATCCCTCCACTTTCCATCTGTATTGTCTTTTGGACTGTCAGCCCTTTACTAACCTTCTTTCTTTCAGTTTCCTTCAGCTTCATGCTTGAGTTTTGTGAGAGTCAGGGAATTTAAATACTGATAAGCATTAACATGACTCCCAGTTTGGCTTTGAGGTCCCAGGATACTTGCTACAAATACACAACTAAGAGGAGGTATCATGGAAATAGAGTAGAGGGGGGTTGTGTATGACAGTGTCACCAAGTCCCAGGGCACTGGAATCATGACCAGTGGGTAAATGCTTTCAGGGCCTAAGTCTTGGTCCCATCACAATAGTGGACATCTTTTCACTGCTGCTAGTGAGCTCTAGTTTCATACTTTTAAAATGTATCATTACTAATAAATTATCAATGCTGCAAAATTCAGACACTATACAGCTTTTGGGTTGGGGTAGGCAATGTTAGAACATCTAAAGTAACATCAAAGTCCCTCCTACTCAATTTAAATTTAACTCTGTCTAAAATTAGAATGCAATCCTAATATTGAATGTCTACAAAAATTGCTGTAATCACTGAAGTACAGTGCCTGAAAATGCCCTCTAAGTTGCTTCAGCAGCTGTTTCTGTATAGCAGAATGTGCAATATGTCATTTAAAGAAAAATAAAGAAGAAACACTCCAACATTTTTAGTTGTTTAAAAAGTAGCTATGTCCTTTTGGTGCTAAATAGTGTGAGACTTCAGGTAGCTTTATTGTCTTAGAGATGTTTATCATTCATAAAACCCTCTACATCCTAAATGATGCCATCTTCCCTCATGCTACAGAACATACCAAACCTGTCAAGTTCAAATTGAATTCAGGTCTCTAAATCTGGTCTTTTACACCTACGATAATAACAAATAAATACATATGGATTCTATATTCAAGATGCAATGTTATAGCAAATTAACCTCCTTTATAAATTTGGGTCACATCATCCCACCAAAAAAAAAAAAAAAATGCCTGAAGAATTAGGTTGCAAAACTCAGTAGAGTGGAATTTTAATGGCAGTCTTGGAGAATCAAGCTCATAGTGTCTACTGGAGCAGACAGGCAAGTAAAAGTCACGTGAGTCTTCTATGAAGTGTTGTTTACATTCCTTTTGTCTATAGAAAAGTGTAGAGGAGGGAAATACATGCTCCTTAGGTACTCCTCATTCGAAAATAAACTCACATGGATGTAAGTGTATGTGCACACACACACGGATAGGCACACACAGTTCGGTGTGTGTTAACAACATGTAAGACACAGTCCAGAAACTCTAGGCTGACAGGATACAGATCCCTGTCAGCTGAGTGCTCCTGTGACTTTCAGTCACAGATTTACATGGGTAAGATAGTTAAGATAGTTCATAGTAATGGAGGCATTGTCAGGGATCCCGCTTAGGTGGTCCTGTGTGTTCAGAATTGATGAGTACCAGATAATTTGGGAAAGCTTGGAGATGCAGATGAAAGAACAGTAGTTCTTAGTGGATTCTTTTTCACCTACATCTTAGATCCTGAAATAGGAGGTTTAGATCCCTACTAAATGAAAATAAATACGTGTTAACATAATGTATAGGTCTTCTTCAATCTTCTAGTAACCCATTAATAGCAGGGTTCAGTAATAGTTTATGACCATGAATTCAATCAGTCAGGCAGGATATGAAAAAGTTCCCCTTTACCTGATTTATTATTTATTATGCTTGTGCTCTGTTGGAGGCCTCCTTGTCCTTGTATTATGAGGAGGGATGAATTAGAGCATCTCATTCTCCTTGGTTCCCTTTCCTACACCTCTGTTAACTTCTTCTGAAAGCTAAACGATGCTGAATATTTCCATCCAGAAAGCTCTCTGTATTTATAATTTTTTGTGTGTGTATATATATATAGATATATACACACATATATATATATCTCATAATACAGTAGATGTTCCTATCATATACCAGTGAAATGTCTTATTATTCACTAAAAGGGTTGCAAACTAACAAAATGTCATATGGGAGGACTTGGCAAAACATGGTGAGATAACATTTTTGTTAGCCTGTTTATTGCTACATTGACTCTGCTTCAAAGCTAAGCCAGTGAGTAAATTTTTTTTCCCCTTTGGACCTGTGGAAACCTGGAATTGCACAGGATCTGAGCAAATGGGAAATCTGTAGCTGTAGCATGTGTCTTTACGGCACTAAATGATCAGGGGACAGAATATTTAGGAAGTGCTGCCATTAAATTAAGACAAGTACAGTAGAATTCAGCAGACCCTCATGCTTCTTGTTTTACATCTCACCTGTTAGTAATAGAGTGGAACAAGAGGAACAAGATCAAAGGAACCAGGCTGCAGTAGTTTCAGATTTAACTGCTGACCTTTAATCTCTAACTTCTAGTCCAACAGCGTACCTGTCTTCTCCATGAGTCTAATGCTTATTTATGTATTTAAGAAGTTATGCCACTCCACACTTTCTCATTTTTCAAACAGAGAAGCAGAATAGTCACATTTCACTTGCCTTATGTATGTTTTAAGCAGTGGATCTCCACCACAATATAGTGTTGTATTACATTAAATATGTACAGCTGCTGTGTTTCTGGGAGCTGATAGGACTTTGTGGTCACTTTATTTAAGGCTTGAATTTCCTAATGGATCGTGTTAAGCAATCTTCCCTCCCTTGCCTAGATAAGAAGTGCTGTAATAAGCACTTGCTTAAAATGATAGGACTGTTTAAACTGTAAAGAATAAGTCATCACTAATGTCTCAAAACAGCACTAAGTAATATTGCAAATTATCCATCCCTGAATGGCAATTGCTGTGTTCAGAATTTTGTCATCATTCTAATGAAAAGAATCATCTCCTGTATACAGGGCAAATGCATACTGCAGTGCTACATGCCCCACAGATTCCCAGCTGGGAGGTTTGACAGGAGACCACGCTGAAGTGCCATGAAAGTGCTCCAGAAAGCCCCAGGTCATCTGGGCACTGACTGCTCCCAACTTCTAACTCCTTCCCAGCCTCTTCTGCAGTAGGTTTAGCAAGAGTAGCAACACTGGAATAAGCTTGTAACTTACTGGTCTCAGGAGCGTCTGAACTCAAGTAGTTTAGGCAGAGGTGCACATCAGTCCTTCCTGCCTTTTGTCCTGGTGGAGTTGAGTTTATTTGTGCTCCAGAAGCTGTGCCTTGTACCCTGCATCTCTACATAGCCAGAGCTGTCAGGGAGCTGCATGGCTGGGATGAGAAGTTTGTAAGGAAAAGGACTTCTGCAACTTTAAGTTGCTTTTCTTGTAAGAAATGCAAATATTGCTCCAGGTATCTTGAAGTCATGACCATTTAAAATTATCTATATCAGCAGCCATGCCTCGCAAGAATAGAAATAAATATGTTTTGAAATTATAATGGGTCTCCCAATAGAGTAAGTTTGTCTAAATTACCAGAAATAAATGAAGAAAAAATTAAGAGTTTTACTCCATTAAGTGAAACTTAAAGTATTTAGACTAGATCAAATTTAGAAAGAAACCTAAAAATATCACCACTGCCGCCTCCAAACAAAAATAACCCAAATCTGCATTCCTGCTCCTGCTTGGTCTATTTTGCATGGTTAAATACACATAATAAACTACTGTAGAATGTGTGTTGTGCATAATATCAATTAAAAGGAACCTTTGCAGGAAAAAGGAGCATTTGGTACTAATGTTTGTAACTGAAGATTTAAGATTTGGAGTTGTTCTGATGCTCCCTTCCTTGGAGATTTAATTTTATGGGCTATCTAATATAAAGTTAAGTACCAAAGAGTCACATAACAGCAAAAAGCACTAGACCACCAAGTTTCAGAATATTAAATTTAAAGGGAATGATTGGCTTCATAATTGAATCCAGTGAGTTTGAAGCCTGAAAAGATTAATTTTGAAATTAAGTTTATTGACTCAATGGGTCAGAAAACAAATTTATTATGACCAAATAGCCAAACATAGAATGAGGGCTGAATTCATAGAGGTTATAGGCTCTGTTCACAGATATATTAAAGGATAATTTACTTGATTTGACTAAGACCTTGGAGACAAAGTGACTGCAAGGTTGTCAGCCAGTATTTTATACTTGACCTTGTTCCTGCTTTGCACTGCCTCCCAATCAGGAAAAAAAGATAGATGCTTTTGATTACAGTGCAGTCAAATTTCATTCATACTAATAAACAAAGAGGCATAAATCAAAAAGTAAACGTAAACTACTCTTTAGCACCACAAAGATGTAAACAAAGGTGGCTTTTTCTCCCTGTACAGGATAGTAATGGACAGCACTGTGTTTAAGTTGGTAGTGCAGACAGGGAGTGTGTTTTAGGGTCTTTTATCTGACCTATGTGGCAAGAATGAACGTGAACAATCAAATGGAGCTGTAAGAAGTCACACATATTTGTTTAGTCCTAAGTTCTGTTGCATTAGACAATTCCTTACATTTTCAAATTATATTTAAAGATTATAAAAGTGCATGCAACATCATAAACCTTTAGTACTCCTGCCTGCATAGTTTTTTGCTTAACTAATGTATATCACTATGTGATTAATATGGACATGTATGTACAAACACAACCTAAAAACTGGGAGTAAACAGAAGCTATCATTCCCCAAAATTATTACTGATGTTTGTCAGAGAAAGTTCTCTTGATTTCAGGCTTAATTGTGCAGCCTAGCAGTGCATGAAAAATATTTAACAATCTCACTGTTAAGTCAATGGGTAATGTCAAAAAAAAAAGCTCCTTTCATCTCTTTCTTATGCATCTGCAAAATTTAATTTGTAAAATGATCATCAGTCATTGAAATTTGGAAAATTGCTTAAAGCATCTTGATGCATATGATGCTCCTGACAAAAAAAAGAAAGGAAAAAAAAAAAGCTCAGCTGTTCCTTTAGACT